ATAACTATATAAATATATTAATAAAACGTATATAATAAGTTTTATATATTTGACATCATTATAGATCACCATATATATATATTAATATACGATATATATATATATATCTGGATATTAAAAAATTATTATATCGGGTTTCCTCTATATCGGTTTGGTCTATATATATATATTAACACAGGCTCTAATTTGGGACCAGAGAAAATCTCTTATATCCGGGTCTCTTATATCCGGGTATCTTATATCCGGGTTATAATTGTAAAACAAACAATATAAGCGTGAATGAGTTAAAATGAATGTAGGGAAAGAAAGAATATTAATTGAATGCGTTAAAGAAAGAAAGAATAAGTCAAAGAAATCTGTTTATTTCCTGCCTTTTCCTTTTTCTTTTGCCTTTGTCCTCTTTTTTTTCTTCTGTCTTTCTTTCTTTATTTCTTATTATCAGTCATCTAAACCAGTTTAGTTCAAAACACGAATTCCGTGACTATCTGACCAAAGAAAAGGCTGCACAATCAAAGGCAACAAAACTATTGGTTAGTTGGTTCACTGAAAATTCTAGAGTTTAGAAAAGAGTTTTTACATCATTGGTCCACCGTAAAAGCTGGGGTTAGAAAAGACTTTTATTAACACCGAAGATTTCTGTTCTTGTTAAGTTGTTGAAGATGATTCGTTTGAAGTTCGCTTATAGATGTTCCTTTAGGCACGCGCTGTGGGGACAGTCGCATCTCTGCTCAAAGCGAAAGTCGAAATCTGTTGGCTTTTATAAGAATTTTTTTTCCCGAAAGAAGGTTCGAGAAAAATAAGTTTTTAGTTTCCTTTGATTGGTCAAATATTTCACTTCCTGATGCTAATTTCTAGCCAATAGAAACTTTGATTTGTCTGTTGTCTGGTGGAATCATTTTGGCATGTTTGTAATATTGTCTATTATTGGGTAAAAAATAAAAGGTTGGGCGTGTTTTAATATATGTACGTGGGTATGTATTTGTATTGAAAAGAAACATTCTTAGATTCCAAAATACGTTTCGGCTTTAAATAATTCACAAAGGTTTTGAGAAACCATAAAAACAGCTAAGACACGACATATCACGCATAATCTGACGAATCATGCTCATTCCCTTTGTATTCCAGTAGTAAGAAGGAATTTTCACTTGGACAGCTTCTGCTTAAGAACAGCTACTGTGTTGTACATGCTCCGGAGAGGATGCTTTCTCGATCACTACAGTTGTAACCTTATCAAGTCTTAAGTTAAAAGAAAATAAAATTAGAAAAATAAAAATTAGAATAAAATAAAATTAGAATAAAAATAGAAATTAGAGAAAACATTTTTAAAAAGTATGTTTGAAAAAAAACAAAAAACAATAAAAAACGAACACGCCAAAGGAATAAAGAAAATTAACAGACAGTTATGTGCCATGCGTGATACACGCTTAGCCGATCATATATCTTTCGATACATGACTGACGAGGCAGATTTTTTCTCACCGTAGTTTGCCATTTCTTTCTGCGGTAGACCAGTTGCCATTCAAGATTGCCATTTCTTTCTGCGGTAGACCAGTTGCCATCCAAGGCTATAGAACCCGGTCTGTCCTGCTTACTTACCCAACAGCTGGGGGGAGTGTATTAACGCATGTAAGTGAACAATGGATTCGACTCGGCTTTCCAACTCCTCTACACATTACTCCACCATTCATCCCAATGAATCAATAAATGAATTAAGAAAGAAATAAAGCCAATAAAAATCAAATAAAAAGAAAGAAGAAAGAGTATGTTCGATAGAGTCGAAAAAAGAAAACAAAAACGGTGTCAACCCAAATATATATATATATATATATATATATATATATGACCTGTCTCATTAAATAAATTGTCTACTTATTTTCAGTAGGATCCTCTCATACTCCCGCACAAGCTTCTTAGTTCTTAGTATCCTTATCAAAGGGAGAGAAAAAATTACCATATTGATACATATTTATTCCGAGTACTTTCGATATTAGCACATTATCATCATCAGGATCTTTTTTTTTCTAAGACAAAACTGTTCCTATTTTTTCTAAAACAAATTGTTGTGTCTATCTGAGTTAAAATTTTGATGGTAACAAACGCTAACGATTTAAATTAATGTTAAAATAAAGGAAAACAGAAAGATAAATATAAAAAAATGAGAAAAAATAATTAAATGAATAAAATTTGACTGAATGAATGAATAATGAAAGACGGTGACAAACTGACCAAAGAAAAGGCTGTACAATCAAAACTCTTTTCTAAACTCCAGATTTTTTTTTCTATGAAACAAATGACCAATAGTTGTGTTGCCTTTTTTTCGTTCTTTATTAGTTTTTTTTTTGGGGGGGATTACTTTTGAAAAAAATATTTTCTCTAATTTTATTTTCTTTTAACCTAAGACTTGAAGAGATTACAACTGTAGTGATCAAGAAAGCATCCCCTCCGAAGTCTGTCCCACACTGTAGCTGTTCTTAGACAGAAACTGTCCGAGTGAATTACTACTGGAATACAAATAGAATTAGAATAGTTCGTCACATTGTGCGTGATGTGACGGGTCTTAGCTGTTTTTTATGGTTTCTCAACCTTTGTGGGTTATTTAAACAATAAATCTAGGAATGTTTACTTTTTCATTTGCGAGTGAATATTGCATTAAGAATATTTAGAAATAACAATTTTTTTCTGTGTTGTGCGAGAGAAGTAATTTCTGAACCTTTGCAACAACATCGTAAAATTAAATGGTTTGTTCAATTTGTGGGCTGACAGCAGGAACTGAGCCTAACGAATACTAGATATATATATAGCTTATGCAAAAAAAAAAAAAAAAAAAACAGAAAGAGTCAGTTGAAAACTTTCACCACTGGTAAATACAGGAGGAAAGTTGGCACGAAAATTTAACACTCACATGACATACTGAATGAAGGAAATATAGTGGATCCCAGCGAGTGACAGCGAGAAATGAGTTTAAGTGAATGGATGAGACAAATCAAGGAGGTGTGGTTAGACCAACAAGGAACAGGAAGTTAAACGAGAGCCATTATCGCCCACGTCATGAAGCGAAACAGCACATAAAAATTGGTAAATTGGGTACATAATTGTCACTTTAAATTTTGTTCACATTTTTACTTTTTTGCAAATCTCGAGTTCTTGACAAGATCCAGAGAAGGATATGTAATCTACAATGGCCCTGATCAAGCATCTTGTTTGCAGTCACTCTTTCACAGACGCGCCGTCGCCTCTCTCTGTCTTTTTTCTACAAATACTTCCATGGTAACTTTATCTTTATGAGCTGCTTTCACTGGTTCCCAGACTCCATGAATTCAAGCGCCCTACGAGGCTGGCATCCTGCTCCACCCTTACACTATAGAAACCTTCAAATGTAGCCGTCTCTTCTGCTCCAATAGCTTCATACCTCGCACCTCTCGCCTGTGGAACACCGTTCCCATTACTGTTTCCCTAAAGCTATAATCTCAACTATTCAAATGTAATGTCAATCGACATCTCTCAATTACCTTGATCTACCCTATCCTTCTCCTCATCCTTTCTTCTATCACTCCCTATCTGCTCTCGCTCCAAATCTTCCGCCCCACCTGCATCCTAGTGGCTAAGCCTTGCTCGGGCGTAATGCTTATATATATATATATATATATATATATATATATATATATATATAATATATAATATGGTATGTTATTTCGCAGCATTTTTCTAAGGAAACACTTTTCTCTTTGTGCGTACCAACATAATGCAAGAATTTTTCCTCTCATGGCTTTAGATGACATTTTGAATTTTTAAGAGGGTTCCTAGCGAGGAACGAACCCACAACTTTAATGGCTAATCAGAGTAGCCACACTAACAATGCCGTTTGTTGGTTGGTTCATATTACGACATATCAACCTTTTTTTTTTGTGGGGCGGGAATATGCAATCCTGAATTTTACATGGGGTAAACAGTGAAGATTGAACTCACAGCTCAATGGTAATGGTCAACCAGATTATCCTTGTAACCATTAATTCGCACACAGACGCCCCTAAATTTTAGGTAGCCACTAATGTAGGTATAAAAACGTTACGAATCTACTGAGGTGACCTTAATTTGGCACAAGGCAACGGTATTGGAGCACCTAGTGTGAAATGTATTATATTGGCGGATTGGAGAGCAACATGAAGTAGTTAACGAACACACGGGGGCAGACACTCGTTCATGAATGATTATTAACGCTGAAGTGTAAGTCGATGTATTCAAGACGATAGGTAGGTTTTATTTTGAGTACACTGTGGGCTTAATGCCGCGTGGGCGTGAGTAGGTGTTGGTGAGCGTCTTTCAATTTATGCATCGGTCAGTATATACGTTTAGGTGAGGCCTTGGCAATCTGTGTGTATATGTAAAGCGTCGGTGGATAATAGGTTCGACAGAGAGGCAAAAGTCATAGCCTTTACGAATGAGAATATATTTGTTTAAGAATGTGTGTCAAAATGTTTGCGTAGACATAAGCGGGAGAGAGCCGGATGTACAGATGTCCATTCGAATATATTTATATGGAGGGACGTACGGACATATTGTCTTTCTTGGCGAGCCTCTTTTTCATGTCGTTCTTCCAACGTTAACTCGAAAGTGATTTTTTTTAGTGATTATGCATTAGTGTGCCGCTTTTCGGAATCTAATATATAAATCTCAAAGTTTGTGTGTGTGTATTCGCACTGAATATAAATTAAATATATACTTAGTTATGTGAACGTGTTGATTGATTGTCTCATTTTCTACGGCTTATCAAACATTTGCGGGTTATTTAAAACTAGAAAATATTTTTAGAGTGTAAGAATTATTTGGGTGGGGTGGCGGAAGATAATAATGATTTAATGACAGATAATTGGATGGGAAGAGGTGGATCCTTACCTTTCCGGGGGCGCGTATGTGAATATAATGAACACAACTGGAATTGGAACTCGGCTCTCCGATGAACAATTTCGAGCTGTTATCCATTGCCCCATACGCATATCCAAGCTTACAGCACCTGGTATTCCCAAGGGGTCACCCATCTAAGTACTGATCAGGCTTGACGTTGCTTAACTCCAGTGATCGTACAGGAACCAATGCTTCAACGTCATACAGTCGTAAGCCATTTGAACGAGTGCAAATATTATAACATCAAATATGCCCGCTTTTATCCTGTGCAGCATGTGTTTTATATCTTATCAAACATCAAAATCCTTTCCTATGAAGATAACAAATTTTTCTTTTTTATTTATTTTTATTCAGCTAACAATTAGTTCAAAACATCACAGTTTAGTTATTTATTTTCAATTTGTTCTGTTGTGACCATTATAAATTAGCGTTCATTTTGTTGATCACAGTTTATTAATTCAAATAAAGCTATTTTTAGAGCTGGAATAGTGAAGATCTTAGCATTTAGATCACAGTTTGGGTGTAACAGGGAGTAAGCAATGTTGACAATGTTTAAATTATTTTAAAATGTAACACATCTAAATGTTCAATTTTAGTGTTTGACTAAAAAGGCCAATTTCATGATGCGATTTCTGGGACAATTGTGCCACAGTTTTACCTGGTGTTTTGCGTCATTACACTTAGTAGGGGATACATTCTACTTTAATCTACATTCAAAAACTTCTCTTTGTCTTAGGATCAAACACAAAAATCTGGTGTTAGTCGTACATACCAAAATATCTAAACCCTGACAAAACAAAACGCCATTCATGTAGGTATTGACTAATCTTCGTTTAATTTGGCAAAAGGCCATACGTGAGGGATAGATAACGATGACTGAATTTGCCATAGTATTAATGATCTGCCTGGCTTAATTGCGAGCTATTGATCCATGTTGGAAGCAGCTATGTCGCAATTGTTATATAGTTATAGATACGTGGCCATATAATCGGATGTGGCAAAAGTGAAGGAACTGGCAATTAGTATTGTGTAGGACGCCCTCTCGCTCGGCGAAGTGCAGCAGCTCGACGTGTTATCGATTAAACAAATGGTCAGAAGTTCTTTGGAAAGTGGTTGAGCCATACCATCTCGATAGCTGTCCACTATTTCTTCAGGTATTTCATTTGAACAGATTTTTTACCCATTCCAAACCCCTTGGGGATTGGGCCTGTTTTTGGTGAACAA